AAATCAAAAGACAAATGTAATAGCATTTTTTCGAATCATATTAATTTTATGTGTATATTATACTAATCGTTAATAATAAAAATATCTACTCCCGGTCAGAATAAGTGTCTTTCATTTGAAAAAAAGAACTGGAACACTCTTTATGATGCTTCACCAACAAAAATGACATCTTCACGATAAGAAGTAGAGTAATTCATAACTTTATATCTAACAGGATGGAATGTCGCATTCACTCCTTGACTCACATCAATTAGTTCAGGAAAAAATTGATGAAAAATTTTCTTCTGCTATTTTTTACTTTCAGATATATTCCTGATAGTTCACAACACAAAATGGCGGGACTAAAGTTTCTCCAGGTATTAGAATGTAAAGCCGTTTCCTTGAATTTGCATCTCATCTTATCTTGTTCCGTCAGATTTCAAAACGTGTTCGGACAAAATTTTGATCCTTTTGTAACATCTGCTGTAATCTCTATGTTCACTCTCACGTACTTCCAATGGCCTTGAAATTATTGAGATAAGTGTATTTTAAACAACTCTTTAGAAATGAATCGTACTTGGCTACCTGTGTTGAAAGAATATATAGAAATGTTGACATATTTCACATTTCCGAACTTCTTTGACATCTGTTAAGGAATTTTGAAAATAAATCGAATAAAAGAAAAATTTCAAGTTGTAGTTGATTTTTCCATTTCTGATGACGGAGGCATATTTCCTCTGCGAACAATACACTGAGTCTATACAGGAACTCATCGGGGTAACCTAGAAATGTGTCCTTTCGACACCTGTATGGAGTTGTGAAGTTATCTATTACAATTTTCATTTTATTTATCAGATTGTAGAAGGTGAGAATTCACAAAAAAGATATCCAAAGGAAAAATATGGTTTCCTTCAAAAAAATATTTGTTTTGTTTATAAATTTGGTTTTCAAGTTATTCAAGAAATTTATCTTCACCTTTTTTTCTAGCGACTTAATTTGCTATGACAACTACCAATTGTATTCATCCGTTGATAATTTCTCATGTACGAATGATCCTTTTGATATTTAATTTGATGTTTGGAGCATTATTCAACTCTACTCCTTCCTAGGTAATTGAATGTTTGCTCTCGAATTCTACACATTTCAGTTTTGTTTCTGTGTTAACAAGTATTTCCATTTCTGGTTCAGCAATTTCTTTACCCGTTTCATCCCCTCCTATTTTTTTCTATTCATGAACCTAATTTCTTTTTTTAAGGTTCTCTTTTTGTTTTCAGATTTTTTCATGACTATGACCCTCATTTGTTCTTTTCTTTTTTCTTTTCCTGAATTTTTTCATTTATTTTACAATTTCCCATTAGAACATTGGTCATTTCCATGTCATTTCATCAGTATTTTGGATTATAATGAACATTTGTTACCATTACCCAAAGTATTTCATTCCATTCTTTGTAATCTCTTCTTACTTTTTATACTCTACCTACGCGATGTGTTTCTAATTGTTCTGATTTTTGTTTCTGGCAATTCATTATCATCATGGGTCATTCATGTTGTATATATTGTTTATGATGTAACTTTTCATTCAGTGTTATTCGGTTATATGTTCTCTTTATTCTTGTATGAATTTCTGATTCTTTTTATAACGTATATCTCTTTATAATTTTCATTGTTTCAACTCGATTCCAAAATAGTTTTCTCATGTATATTACTGGAGTTTAATCCCAACACCAAAACGTTATTTTTAACACCTCGACACATGTTTCGATCACCAAGTGATCATCTTCAAAAGGAAGATTAACAGTTACTTTCAGCATCCCTGAACATGGTTTGATAAAAAACCCAAACACCGGGTTGAATTGAAATACTTTTTATTTACCATTGACCCTCTCTAGCAGTACCTACATCCTTAAAAATTCAAGAAAGACTAGAAATATACATTAATGTTTATAAATGTACGTGACTCCATTTTTCGAATATAACAATACTGAAATAGGAGTAGTATCAACACAGTCACTGATAATAAAACAAGTTCGATAAGAAAATCATGCGGACTTTCTTAAATTAAATTGATTTTAAATTCATTATCGCCTGGCGATAAACTACATAATTAATTTAATTCGAATTGGAAACATTGGCTTGTACTATTTGGGTATATATTATACCTATTATTATAGTGTACCTACGAAAATCAATTAACACTGTCACGTTAAATCATACATTACTATCAGGGATTCGCATCACATAACATAACCTCACAATTGATATGAATTGTGGAAAAATCAGCATATTAATGAGTGCACTAAAAACTTTTGAACTCCAGGTATATGTCTTTCACTGCTGTATTTAAAATCAATAAATCAGGTGATTCTTTCATTCACTTTAACAGCAATTTCAAGGAAATTGTCCCGGCAGGCAGGTAGTTATTGTTGCAACATTAGACAATTTGTTCGGAAACTAGTTATGAAACGTATATTTTCAAAAAAAGAAACGTGATCATTACTCCCATTCGGATACCTAATCGGCAACGTGAACACATTCAATACGTACCTAGGCATGCGACAAAAGTTAAAACTTCGCTAATCACAACATACACTCACTTACACCACGCGTACACATTGCAACTTGAAAGAAAACTGACCGGTTCGTCAACCTTCGCCGCTGCAGATTTTAGATCGGAGCTATTCGGCAAAATTTGTTGCTTTACACGTGACGGCTCCAAAAGTTACTTGATTTCGTGGACGGTGTTGAGTATGGATTGATTTTTGACTTGGAACCTTCACTCGGCTGAAAACAAATCGCGTAAGGCTATTTCTGTTTTGTCAACACTGTTCTTTTGGTTTTCGTGGTTTCCCGCCTCAATGTTCTGGCCACTCGCCTGCGGAACTCCGATGAATATTTACATCATTTATAGCAAGGGAATATTGTTCAAATGATTTTGTGCAAATGAGTTATCCATTGTGACTTTATTGAGGGTTGGTCATGAGGGCACGACATTTTCCGTACACCGCGGTATAGATAATAATAAATTTGTCAATCACGAAATTTTAAGACAAAAGTTCGGGATATGGTGATCAAAAGTGAATCGTTATTAACCAGCGAAAATTTTGATATGGGCTACGTGGAAAACTATACAATAATAGTTTATTTCCGGAACACATTCGATTGTCAAGTTATTTTTAAAGTAACTTCAGTTGTTATTCCTATCCATTGCTTGTTTTATTCGAAACGTATTACCAATGACCCCCCTACAGAATGATTATTGAATATAGTGTTGAGCCCCATCGTAAAAGGAACTTGGTCATTGGAGTTGCTGATTTATAGACTCGAACATAGTTAAAACATTTCACTCACTTCAGTCTTTACATTTACCCTTCTTATATTCAATATGAGACCCGTGGATTGGGCTACCTATCGGGCGCGTTCCCAGGTGGCGGATAGGGAAACGGCCAGGGGACTGGAGGCCCTGTCCGGGAAGCATTTTTACNATGAATCAGGGCGGAGAAGAAACTAATTGAAGCAGTAAAAACGTTTGATAGTAATATCAGAGTAATTGATATTGACCAAAACAAATTCATTCTGAGAACCAACATCGAAAGAGATGTAGATATCACTGCAATTGGATTTAAAACTTTCCTAAAGCTACTTGCACAGAGTGGATTGTAAATAGAACATCTCCTGAAATAAAAAACTACAGTATCGAAAAGATTGGGTTTGTCAGCACAATGCTAAAAATAAGGAAACAAAAACATGAAAGAAATTACTTCAAATCTGATTATTCTCGGGAGACTTCTCTTTGAATACATCAAGTATGCAAAGTGTAGATTCAGCTCGCTTGAATGTTGTTCCAGAAGCGGTAACAACATCAACCATTCTGATTTTGCCATCCTTCCCAGGGTGAACATTTGTAATTCTTTCTTTCAGCCAAATGTTCCGTGGACTATTGGGGTCATAAAATAGGACAATATCCCTTATTTTGACATTTCTTCTCTGCTGGTGCCGTTTACCTCGTTTTGCTAGAGATGGTAGATATTCTTTAGCCCACCTTTGCCAGAATAAATCTGTAAGCTTTTGTGCTGCCTTCCATTTGTTCAATAAACACAAATCCCTTTCATCGGTTTCAGCACAAGGTAACGCTGAATAATAAGTTCTAACCAAGAAATGATTTGGAGTTAGAGCCTGTTAAGACTGTCCTTAAAACATATTTCTGGGAATAACTTGTGAGAACTTCCGACACATTTTTCTTGATGAATTTCATCAAACTCTCCCATGATCCACCCATAAAAGGAGCTATTGGCGGTTGAAAAACCTTTTCACATTTTTCAACGTACAAAAATTTTTTATTTTATTTTGGTTAAACGATTCCAAACCTTTTTGGAGTGCTCTGTCACTTCCTTTAAAATTCCCTCCATTGTCACTATGAATCTTTTGTGGAAAACCTCGTCTACTACCAAATTGTCGAAAAACATTAATGAAACCATCCGTGCTCAGGGCGTGTGCAATCTCTAAGTGAATTGGTCTTGTCCCTATACGAGTGAATATCACCCCATATCGCTTCTCGCGACTTCTCTTGACCGAAACTAAAAGAGGTTCAAAATAATCAACTCCGGTTTTTATTAAAGGTCTCACTGTCCGTTCTATTCTACATGTTGGAAGCTGTCCCAAAATCGGAGGTTTCGGCAAAGATTTCCTGTTCTTACACTTTTGGCAGTTTGCCCAGCAACTGCCGATAGCTTGTCGCATTCGTACTATCCAAAACTTTTGTCTCATGCTATTGAGTACAGTGGCCTGTCCATGGTGATTGAACTTCTCGTTATAATATAAAGTATAAGCAGTTTCATAATTTTGTGTTTCGGGCCTAAAATTATCGTTCTTTTCACGTATTCATCTGAAAGCCTTTTTCATCAAGGAAACAATACAATGTATACAGGCGACTCGTATTGTTCACAATGCCATGAGTTCTCAAAGATTTCATTTCTTCATTAAATGTTTCCTGTGAATTGAAATTTTTCCTAACGTCATTTTGACAGTTGTTTGCCTATTTAGAAGTAGGATATATTTCTGCGTGTGATAATGTAGAAAATGGTTCACATACCTGAGAACAGCAAGGCGTGCAATTTTTTGTGTCATTATTACCATTCCAAGTGAACTCGTTTACCCATTTTTGAACATTCGAACCATTGTTAATCACTGACCCTGATCCACATGATGAAGACTCATCTTCCACTTATGCATCCGAAGATTCATATTCCATTTGTGACAACTTGAAGGCTAATTGTAAGTCGAGAATCTTGTTCTTTATTCAATAATTTCTGCTCCAGTTCTTTCTTTTTTATTTCTGCCTGAATCATCAATTCTTTTTTGACTTTTTCTGAACGGACGCTACTAGTCTTGGACTTAATCGATTTCCTTTTTTGAATGGAACCCTGCCGTGTCATTATCTTTTTGCTGTCTGCATTGAATACTTCCAAGTGGAGTTTTTGTCATCATTGTCATTATTCTGCTCCAAATCTTAGTCAAGAGAAGAAAAGTTGTCTTGTTTCCTTTCACTACTGATAGGAATCGCTTCCTTTTCCCGTTTTTCCGCTAATCTCTCGCTTCTTCGATTTTTTGACATGTCTCAATAGGTTGATTCGATAAAGGCTTAGAAGGACCAATTGATATTATGTTTTACCTGAAATATCTAGGTTTAATCCGGTCTCGAAGAACGAAATATTGAAATTCAGTTTCAGTCAAAAAAAATTTTTATTCGCCTTGTTTTAGTTACAACAACTGAACATCAAACTAAATATAAATATGTACAGGATAAAACAGAGAGGAAACAAATAATAGTGAATATAAATACTGAACAAAACGAGCAGCGTTTGGAAAAGAAACAGGAACTGTGACGCCAAAATCTTTATTGAGGTTAAAAATGAAAACAAATTTTGAAGATGCAGGGATATCCCTTGATTGAGGAAGGCTTGAACACCATTGTAGAAGTATGTTTGTTTGAAGTTGTAATATTATAACAACCATATTCGTTTACTAACTTTTAGTTGCATCTTACGCATCGCCACAGAGTTACGGCGGCAAAAGCCTATAGCTATCTGAGAGTTGGCTCGTCTACGAAAGATCAATTTTTAAAGTACTCCAGTGAAGGATTGACTCCTAGCGAAGCCAAAAATTTCCATAAGTCGAAACTAATGGCTACCACTTCAAGTGAAAAAATATATGAAACTCTTAACAATGCCCTAGTAAATCATATGAAACGATCAATTTATCATTTGTATGAACAATGGAGGTACGTACACTAAGAGAAATTTTTTGCAACGATAGAGAGACTTTTTTACAGCAGCGAAACCGTTATAGCAAAGTGTTTCTCAGTGTATTTCTGTTAAGATTTGTTTCCAATTATAAAATTATGAAAAAAGAACAAGCAAAATCGTTTTTGAAAAGCTGATGGAGAAAAAGGCACATTTTGAAGAGAATGGAACAAGACGTTTACAAGCGGAGAGCCGTTTTGCTATGTTGTGGTAACGCCCTTAATTCTAAGAAAATCGAAACTATTGAAAATATTGAGTTGTTTGCTAATATCTGCACAAGCATTTGTAATTTAAAAAAAAAACGAGAAAGATAACAGTCCAACCTACTTCTATTGCACGCCGGGCAAATAGAAGTTTACATGCCTCCGTTAGAGCAATATAGGCAGGTAGGCCTTCAAAGTTGGAAGTTTTAAGAAACAAAAAGAAGAAATCAAAAAAAGATGAGATCATTAAGTGAAAATATTGAGCTTGGTAAACCAAATGCTATCAACCATGGATGTAAACATTAAAATGTGCTACCTGTATAAATATTTCTGCATTTATTCATATTTATTAAATAGGGGTTCATTAAGTATCTATTACACAATGTAACCTACTATCAGAATATATGTATATGACACATTAAATTGATATTATACATCACAAATTATTACCCAGCTTGTTTTTATTACTTTCAGAAAAAAACTACTACCTACTTTTACCACTATGACCTATTGTCAGGCATTTTGAGTATCAATCACGAATTGTTGCGCCCACTGTCTAGGGAACGGAGTGATTGGCACGTAGTACATTTCCCAGCTCGTCAACGCAACCAGTAGCGTTCACGGTGTAGGAAACGTAAAAATGCGTCCGGGAAGCCAATGTGGCTTCACGGACGGGGTCACCGGACTCCTGGTCAGTGGCAGAAATAAGTAGGGTGAGGGGAATTGAAACTCCCCAAAAGCCTTTGCAAAACATGCCACCGTGGACCACATGTTGCCACATGAATGGAACAAACACAAAAACCGAAACAACAAAAACCAATCCCGAGGCTGGACAGAAGTGCTCACCTCGATCTAAGGCGGTGACTTGGGATGAACAGAAATGTCCTCGTGATGTAATACTAAGGCTAAGGCGTAAGCGCACTTGCGGCGCCAAAAAGAGAAAGAGAGTGAAGGAGGCAGAAGTTGCAGCAACTATAAGTGTACCCTCCTCCTCCCCCACTCCACCTCCAATAGCAAGGGCACTTCCTGCGGCGGTCGCCAGAAGCTCCGCCTTGAATAAAGGCAAGGAACAAGCTGCCCCTGCAGGAAAGCGTCCTCACTTATGCACCCCCACGGAGAGAACCCCAAGAAGGTTGAATAAGCTGCGCAACGTCAGTAATGTCGCTGCAACTTCCAAAACCTTTGCGGATGCTACCGTGAGACATCTCAAGGTTGCCAAAGAGAGTGTGTGTTCGGGGAGTCTTGGGCTACGCCTGCCAATATAAAAGAGATGTCTCCTAGTGACCTGTCCACTTTCCTGGAAAGGACAGGATGGACGATGACCTAGGAGGACATCTCCTCGGGAGGATGTACAATGGGTCACATGTGGCCTAAGTGCTGTGGGTCTACACTCACTCTCCCTTCTCTACAGATACAGATTCAATATGAGAGTACTGACATTTGGCAGTTCACGACTGTACAATATATGAATTCATATAGGAGTAAACGATATTGTGCATGCATTCTTGATTTGTCAGTACTCTCAAAGGCCAAAAAAACCAATACATAAAAATGAACCGGCTGTGAACTAGTCCACGTGGACCGCAGAATTGGCGGTTTGTATTGGATAATTTTTACTAACCGAGTTTTATGATTGACTGAAGAGTCATAAAACTAAATTTGAAGTCATGTAACGATGAGGAATAGAAATCGGGAATGCGAGATGGTTATCGCCGTTGTGTTTATTTCAGGAATTGATCACGATATGAGTGTTTTGTTATCTCTTTAAAATGTGGCGTCCTTGAACAAATACTAATAGTAATAAAGAGTGTGATAACAACTCAGACTTTTTCCAGTGTAGTAATTCCAATAGCGATGGTGAACAATGCGAAAAAGAGATACCAGTGAATAAGATTTGGATGCATTTGAATATTGGAACACAGAGAGTATGTTTCAATGTATATAAGAATCTACATCGCAAGTTTGGTTTCGAGGGAAACAAACTATTACAAGCAACATCAGATTTGATTGATATTGCTTTCCCAACTGTACGTAGAATAGTCAAAAACAAACCTTATGAACGCAAGACACGATGTGATACAGAATTATCAAAACCTTCAGATGTTCATCTGATGAAATCATTGAAAAAAACAATTTACGACTGTTACAAAAGCAATGAAATTCCTATACAACTGAAATCATAAGGAAGAAATTGAATACTTCCGGCCATAACTTGAGCTGATGTGACAAAACTCTTCAGAATTGGATAAAGAAAGTAGGATTTAGATTGAAAATAATAATCAAGCGTCAAGCAGTTAGAGAAAGCAGAAGAATAGTGGAATTGCTTAGTAAATACATAGACCAAATAAATAAATATTGACAAGAACATTTCCAAATGATTTATTTGGACGAAACTTGATATGACACTCACGACGACAGTTACGAAAGGGTGGACTGATGGTTCAAGAATGTGTACGCCTAACATGCCTGGAAACAAGATTTGATAAGAAGGTAAAGAAGCTATTTAAAGAAGAAGTATTTGATATTAACGAAGAAGACTGGCAGGATTAAAAAAGTTATTTCAGTTCATAAATATTATATGGAGATTGGACACTTCCATATTGATGGTGGACATAAATTCATTATTGATTTAAATGACGACAGTGATAGTAAAACTAGTAAAACAGAGAATATGGAAGAGGAATTATTTATATGTTTCAGTTTCAGTCAAAAAAGGGTTTTTTTATTCTCCTTGTTTTACAAGGAGATATTTGAAGAAGAAGTATTTGATATTAACGAAGAAGACTGGCAGGATTGAAAAAGTTATTTCAGTTCATAAATACTATATGGAGATTGACACTTCCATATTGATGGTGGACATAAATTCATTATTGATTTAAATGACGACAGTGATAGTAAAACAGAGAATATGGAAGAGGAATTATTTATGTATTTGTATATCAGTTTTGTTAAATTTCTCTTGATTATTATCAACACACACAAATAATTAACAACTCGATTCTCACTTTGTGTTGTTTTATTAAGTAAACAGCAGGAAACAACCTCACAACCGTGTAGCAACTGAAGTACTATGTAATACACAAATCACAGTATTTATAATAAATATAAAAATGAGATGCGAAATAAACTAGTTGTCATCAATAGATATACTCTGGAATGAAATATTAGTAAGCAATGATAATCAACAGGATAAATTATATCTAAGCAAGATTATACAGATAACGTTTGGATTAAAATCATAGTCATCAATATACAAAGATAACGTTCGGATTAAAAGTGATGTCAGCATTTTCCGGGTTTCATCTCTTTGTATAGTCCAGGGAAAGTGGGCATCGTACTCCAGACAAACTGGTCAAAATTCAAGTAGATAAACACATTTTTTTTATTTTCAAGGGCACGTCATCAGTGTCTTATCATCCGAACTCAAACTGTTTGGGCAACAAATGTTTACTATTATTTTATTGCGCTTTGATTCAATATATTTCAATATAATGGTATTGATATTTTACAATATATTTTCTTATGATCTGAAAAAAGTAAATGAGTCTCACACTTAAAGAAACATTTTTGAATATTCATTTATATGATCTGAAAGGTCATTTTGAATAACTTCATTATTATTAGTATCTCCTGTTTGGTAAGTTATCAAAAGTTTCAAAAATGTGTTCCCATTCATAATTTTTTTCAGGTTCTTTGTAAATTGACCCATTTGTTTCATATGAGTGGTGTAAGAGTACACGCATGCTATCGGTATGAATTTCAAGATATTTTTTTTCTGATTGATTTGGCCGTTACTTGATGAAGATCAATAGTAATTTCAAAAACTACACCTCACGATTTGATCCCCACATATTTTATTTGAAAAATATATCCCAACATGTTGTAGATGGAAGCTTCCTGCACCATCCGGAGGCCAAAGAGGCGTATAGGTATTTACCTCGGAGTGGATCAATGCCACTCATTAACGTTAACAGCAGTAAAGAACTCTATCCGCGGCATGTATCAGTACAAACTACGATAAATCGGGTCATCGGAACGGTCGGAGAAGATCACAAAGTTACTGCTGCGGATTGCTTGCCGTTCCAATCTTACTCTACTCGTTTGGAGTAGTGAAGTTGAATCGGAAAGGGTGTAGCACCTTGATTTGATGCATCTCCATAGAAGTTTGCATCCCTAATTGTCCAAATGGTACTGGATGGAGCTGATTAATTTAGCAGGACTTCAGATTCCCTTCTCTGCAGGGTGCGCGACCATGAGAGTGCAGGAATTGAAGCATTTTTAAGGTCAGCTGCTCAAACGGCTGATGAACTCTATTCAGTTTTTGACACTGAACGAGGTTATCACAACTCTGTCACTGAGTTGGAACCCATTCAGTAAAAGGCCACATAAGCTGAAGAGATTACCTTACTCCTGAAACAACACAAGGAAAATTTAATGTATGGGGTCTTCTTTAAAAAGATTGAAGACCTCAGCTCAACAAAACACCTGTCCTTTGCTTTTCTCAGATCGAGTGGGTTGAAGTCGGAAACTGAGGGGCTCATTACGGCCTACCTGGATGGTGTCTAACACTAGGTACAAGGCTTGCCACGACGCCTGCCTAATGCAGTTACTGTCGGCATGTTCATCATATTCGATCTCAGCCTATATTCTACGATATAACGCGTTCCTAAGAGTACTTTATCATCATCTAGGGTATATTGAATCCGTTCAGGGGAATGGGAAGTATCGAATTTGTTGAAACTATTCATTTTTCACCCTCAGGCTCATACAAGCTGATTAGCCTGATGTTGTTATTATCGACCGTCAGAGCAACATATTATTAGTAGAGTTTTCAGCTCCGGGTGGGATGAATTTTAGAGTGAAATCTCACTTTTAATTTTTGTACTTTCTCATGATGGCGTCATCAATGAATGTATACCAAAATCGAACAAATTGTCCCAAAACTCAAATTACCACTTCGAAGCACATGCTTTTAGTTGATAGATGGCATAAAGGAGAATTCGCAATGAGCATTGAAGTCGATTCCAAATTCGATCATTTCGGAAGAGGCCTATTTTGAAAGCGATACAATACTGACCAATTACCCTCACTTTTTTGACACAGTGGTGTTGCAAAATTATTACAAGTTTAATTGATTTACATCACATCAAAACACTTTCTTAGAGGTTGTTAATGTCACAAGTCGGTCGCGTGGTTTTCCGCCATGAATAGTCGTCGTTTTCAATTGATTTATTTGATAATATGACGAAATATCATATATGAAGAATATTTCCAGTTTCTCAACTATCAGTCTCACCGTTTTGATATTGCATGTTTTTTCCAAGTTGGTGCTATGGATTAAAATACATTCTTTCAACTGACAATAATGTGCCAGTTGACTTTCCTCAGATTTAATACACAGTCCTCGAAGCAGTTCCGATATGCACTTTTTGGTATCTCCCTGAGCTCTCCCAACGATTCGATTTTCATTCCTTCAATTGTCGCAAATCGCCGTCCTTTCTTAGGTCTCATCAATATTGGGAACAGGAAAAAGTCGCAGGGGGTAAATCTGGTGGATATTGTGGCTGAGGAATGATTACGGTGTTATTTTTGTCCAAAAAACTACGAACAAGCAATAACGAGTGGGCAGATGCATTATCTTGATGCAATAGCTATGAATTGTTTTTCCACGATATTAGACTCTTTCTTCGTAGTTCTTCTCGAAAGCGGCGCATAATTTCCAAGATGATACCCTTCACGACGGTACGACCATTTGGCAAGAACCCCTGTAGGAAACAGTGAGCAAAACCTTGACATTTGGTGACTTTTTTGGTCTTGGCTCTCCTGGGCTCTTCCAATGGGACGATTGAACTCTGGTTTCGATGTCATAATCATATACCCATGATTCATCACCAGTTATGTTAAAACACAAAATAAGTAAAGATAACCTCAAAATCCTACACATATGTAATGAAGGGAAAAACGAGTTTGCTGGAAGCCATGGAAATTAACAAATCAATTAAAAACCAGAAATATATACCCCTAAACGAGCAACTCGAGTTATGTAGGTCTCCACTCTTGAATTTATAAGTTTAACAACTCCTATAATCTTCAGTGTTGAATTTCAATGTTGGCACCCTGGTTCGTACAACTACCTGTCGTTCAGTTAAACCCGAAACTGGTCGTATGAATAAAATTAACTAGTGGTAAATAAACAAACGTGTTTCTGTGAAAAGCTTGTATACCAGTTGTTAACATTTTCCTGACTCAGAGTACAACCACTGTGAATTAAAACATAATTGTTTATTTTATTTATAGAGAAACGTTGTTTCAGAAACATGACTCGTTGAATTCACTACATTGGTCTCAGCCAGCCATTGATTTTTATTTGATGTATTTTTCTGTAATAATTGTGCAGATATCACTTCTATGTTGAAATTTGTTATGGAATCGGCTGATACCTGATGAATATCTATAAATTATCGAAGAAACACTTCATTTTGAGATTTTCACTACACAGTTTTACAAAACCATGTTTCACCATACATTAGCTTCTTCAGTCGTGTCTATATCCAATCACGTGTTGCGTTTTTTAAAACTGTGTAATGCAAATCTCACAATGAAATATTTCTTGCATACTTCTGTTGAAACTCTTATTGAATCTAATCATTGGTTTGATATACTTTGAGCCAGTTTTTCGTATGTATCCTGGGGTTCAGACAAAGAAAAAACATAAGTTTCGAAAAAATGGTTTCTGTTTCAACATTCCGTCAACTTATCACTAATTTCATAATGGACTATATTTCTTTTTTCTTAGCGCTAAATGGCTAAAGGAAGGTTGCATTTTTTCCTGTTTTTTGACGTATTCTTCCATAGCACTATCTGGTGGTTAACTGAGATCTACTCATTCTAGGTTGGCTTATGGGGTTTGAATCCGCAAAGTTAAGTTTAAGCAGTTCTTTCCTGCCATTTACATCGGCTAAATACAATCGACGAAGGAATTTCAATAGTGTGTGTTTTTGATAGTTTTAGATGATTTCTACAACTAGAGTAGGCTCTCCTTGTTCATCTTTCACTGCCTGAACCACTGTGCATTCTGTTTTTGGCGAGTGCCTTGGCTTGGGATGTGGGGGTTGAGCAAACCGGCCATCAGATGCCTGCTTCCACGTAGCCCCACTGGATACGGGAATGACAGAATCACTTGTGGTTTTGTTATTCCCTAACTGAATGGCTCAATCCTAAGGTGTGTGTATCCATGCCGAGACGATGAATGACACTGAGCCTATCAGCTGTCTCAACTGCTCTGTCCTTCGAGATACCAGACGCCCTCTCGTGGTAGCATCGCCTTGTCACGGTAATGCGGGACTCTGTCGTGATTGACCTTCCTTCCCTAGATACTCGTGAGACTTTTATGGACAGAGTGAACTAAAAAAATTCTTTCTGACGCTGAGTCTACGGAGGAGATGGATGTCGAGCCTACTGACTCCAACTGACGTCCCTGTAAATTTAGATCAGGAGCGAGAGTTTTTCAACTCTCCAACTCCTGATCCAATAACTGAATCTAAAAAAAAGGTTTGGTGGTGCAGCCATGAAACGACTGAGACGTCTCCTCAAGAGCGGTGTACCATATGAAACCGCCTTGCACCAAATTCTTTAGCGGCGTACGCAGAATCTGTCCCAGGTGGAGGAACAAACCCCCCATGAGCAGGTTAGCAAACTTTTGCGCTCAAGTGATGATTAAGCAAAACCAGTGGAGAAAAAGCCCTCCACGGTTGAATCTAAGGCATCGTCAGGTGTAGCTGACATGCAAAAACCCTCATATGGGAAGGTTGTCGCAGGTATCAAGGCAGGAATCTCACACCTTGATTCTCCGAGTACCTCATTCACGATGAAACAGCAGAGCATATAGTTCGAGACTGCCCCGCTGGGGACCGATTCAGGTTTTTAGAGTTCGGCAGAGCTGTACTCTTACCATCTGACCTGAAAGACTACTCACCATACAGACTAATCGACTTCGTTAAGAAACTGGGTTTATTTGGTAGAGTATGAATAGGTTTGAGCCACAATAAACCTTGCACTTTGCGGTAGAGGGTCGAATAGATCCACTCACTTTAGACCTAACCTAACCTAACCTATCAACTAGAGTAAAAAATGCCGAATGGATGAGACATTTTTGAGATGATAAACAATATCTCGAATTTTCTGCTGCAGTTTTTGTAGGAAACTTTGTTTAAAGTCTAGTTTTTCCAATAACAATATTCGTGTGACATTATGATACAGAACTCAACGTTTTGGGTAAATGGAAAAAAATAACGAAACAAAACATTTTCAACCTAAAATAGAAAGAGAACAAAGAGTTGAACATACTCCGTGACATTTTGCGGTTTGTGAAGGTCGATTGTTATTCATCACAGGAAAGGCGGTTCCTGCATAGAATACTTTCTATAGATAAAAAGTAAAAGATGTGGGTTTTCAAGGTTTCACTACGAATTTGTGTAAAAACCCAAAAAATGAATTTTTCATAAAGAATATAAACAAATTACATTAGACTCTTAGTATATAATGTTCATGCACTGGACGTGTATCCATCAGTATATTCATTGATCACACATTTACAGGAAGAAATGAAACACTGAAAATTTAGAAGGAATAAAGAACCAACATGCAAGAGAGTACCTACCTACGTCTCTTCATAATGCATACATGTCATTAGTATGATCGTAATGAATGGTTCGAGAAAAAATATATTTTAAACGAACTAACATTAGTTATATTCTCAACTTAGACGATAACGATACTGATTTATGAAATGAAGAAACTGATGAGAGCCGAGGAGACTTGAAAAGAGGAATATTAAATGACATCGATTGGGTTCAAATATAAACTGTTGAAAATAATGAAACTTATGTTAATTTGTAATTTCATGGAGGGAAATAATATCATTCATTTTTTTTTGAATATTTTAAAATAGTAGTAAGGATTGCTGATTTATTTATTACATTGGAACTATTTTAAATTTTGAATATTGAATGTAGTGCCATCTATGAAATAGTAGTTCAGTTTCAGTTTTCGATCTCATTAAAGTAATCTGCAAAAATAATTTTCTCCAATATTAGTGCCTATAGTTACATACAGATGGTAAAATTTTGACTAGCTATTGTTTATTTCCACTTCAGAGAATTTTCATGTTAAAGCAGTTTCTGCTTTCATGTGGAATTCATATCATAACTTAGAAATGTAAGAAATTATGTGAAGTGAAAAGTATTTTTCGACTGAAAGCGTTCAGTTATGAAAAGGTATTCAGGTATTTGACTCAATTTATACTCAAATCAATTTGAAATATTTTTTTGACATTCAATATATTTTGAGGTTAGAATAGTGGAGGTTAGGCATGAAATTTCAAATTGCTGTTCAATCGTTACGAAGAACATTTGTAAATATATTTTCGAATTTACTGCAGACAAAAATGAAAATTTTACTTCCGGCCGTGAAAAAACAATCATTGATATTTTCACTAACACTGAAAGGTGAAAAATTGCATCACAATTAACACAAATTAATATATTAGGTTGTTTCAAAAGTTACCTCTGTTTTTCTGAACCCACTTTAAAATGTGATATCTCACTGAATACTTATTCAATGCAATCATAATTCATAATAAGCGATATTTGAATCAACGAAATTTTGCCAAAAGGTAACACAAGTCGATTAATTTCGTCAGCATAAAAATTATGTGCTCGGGATTCGATGAAGTCAACGAAGGATGATTTTGTCTGGTCCTGATTGGCGAAGGTTCTGTCGGTGAGACAGGTACAAAGTGCTTGAAAAGATGGTAGGTAGTAGGTTGGCGAGAGATCTGGGGAATATGGTGAGTGAGGCAGAGCTTCGACGCCCAATTCGTTCAAATTTCGGACGGCGATTTGTGAAACGTGCGGACGGGCGTTGTTTAGAGCAGGATCGGACCTCTTATGTTGACCACTGTCGACTGTGGTGACGCAAATTTCGTCGATATCCTCACAATAGGACACTGCTGTGATGGTTTGGCCCGGTTACAGAAAATTATAGTGAATCACCTAAGACGCTGACCACCCAGTTACTATGGTGGGTTTTCGACTTTGGGAAGTGCCTGGGTGGCTTATCGGTGTCCAACCACTGTCCTGTTGTCGTAAAGGTTCCACTTTCCATCACACGTGAAGGTCTGATCGAAAAAAATATCGTTTTCGTTGCGCAAAAGCATAGAAGAACAGACGTTGAAACGTGAACATTTTTGCAGATCGTTCAAATTGTGAGGCACCTACTGTTTGAGTTTTTTGAACTTTCCAATACGTTTGAAACCATCAGAAATCGCATGGGGGCTGACGCCTAGTTCTTCTGTCATCCCACGCACCGGTTGTGAAGGGTCAATCTCCACCAGAGCCCCCAAATCCTCGTCTTGGATCACTGTAGATTGACCACTTCGGGGCTCATCTTTGAGGATAAAATCTCCGGAACGAAAATCAACGTCAAAGAGTGCGTTAATCAAATTGCCAAATGTCTAGTTAATTTTTCGGGTTGTTTCGGCAGCGCTATGGTTCAATTTGAATTCTCAGAGAAAGATTGTCCGAAAATTGCTTAAAGACATCATATCTATAATGGTCGTGGAATGGTGGAATTGGCCGCGGTGAAAGGTAAGACCTTTTTAGTCCTTAGCTTGCACTAGTTTATCAACTTCTGAGAATTGTCGTTCGTATGGGGGCGACAGCTGATTAACGGAAAAACAGATTTTGAACAGAAAACAGAATAATAAGCTAATAAAAAGGCAAACAATTTAAATTTGGAAAAGAATAAACATCACCAATGTGTGAAATGAAATACAAAATTCTCCATAGATCAGTTTATACATTTGAAATGAAGTATGTAATTTATATACACAAAAAAATTAATTGTGCTATAAATGTTCGAATTGGAGTCCTTCCATTTCGAGAAAAATAATGGGACAGTAAGATGGTCTGCAAAATCACCAGATCCTACTGATTACGACTATTTTTTATGGGGGACATTGAAAAATAAGATTTACGCTGGCAAAGAGATAGAAAATGTGGAAGACTCGAGATTGAGAATTTTGAATGATTTCGCAACAATGCATCAAATAAGTGTATCAAGGGCAATAAATAATATGAAAAACCGAGTTTAAAAATGTCTGTCTCGAAATGGAAGGACTCCAATTCGAACATTTATTGCGCCAATAATTTTTTTGGGTACCTATATAAATTACTTCATTTCAATTTTCATCACAATTATAGTGTTCGTTTCGGATGTTATTTTTGCTATTATTTCTTTTTCTGCTTATTGAAACACATATAATATATTTTTGATGTAGGTAGATATGTTTCCTATAATCATAAAAGGTTTTCTTATTCGAAGTTAATTGTAGAAAAACGCTCAGTGCAATGGAAAAATATGAATAGGTACCCAAAAATGAAAAAAACTCTCGAAAAACTCTACGATACATAGGGAGACGTGAAAGTTGCTATTATGTTTTTATTCAACTCAGTCAACCAATTTCCAGGGCCGTAATTTAAAAGGGAATAATTCACACAATTATAATCGAATATTACCGAAACATCCCGAAATATAAAATTGAATTTAATTTCTCAGTATGAAGTGAACGTCTACAATCCAAAAACTACAACAAAAAAATACAGGTCCGTATTTAAAAATTCAAAGATGGGGGTGGCCCAAGTCAGATGACACCCTGTAAAAAAGATACATGGATATATTCTTAGAGCCCACATCAAGTGCCAATAGCAAAATGTGGACAGATTTTCAATATGTCTGCGAATAAAGAAGATATAGGCAAAAAAATTATTTGGGATTTTTTGGTTTTTCCTGTATATCTCCATAACCAAAAGAACTATATTCGATTTCTTTATATCATTGAATAGGTCTCTAACTAGATGGCGCTGCAGAACAATTTTTTGAAAGCACTGTTCTATAACGCTGTGCACGCCTAAGTTCGTTGTTTCTGATTTTGTCAAAACATTGGATACAGCGATACAGCAACATAGTACTAGTATATTATAGAATAAACTAGGAGTAGTTCAAAATCGACTGAATTCCCCACGTATACTGGGAATCAAAGGTCAAATAAAATATCCTCAGTAGATGTACCGAAATGGTGTTACAAAATTAAGAGTACAAACGTTGTTTTGATAAATATTACGCAGTAACAGAGGTCAGTAAAGATTTGAATAGATAGTTTGTGATCAACATTTGATTCATCATTGACACAGTTACATATAAAATTTTCACAGATTGATTTCAAAAATGAGCGCAGTGAAATTGGCAAAGGCAGCTCTGAGAAAAGAAATTGAAAAAAGACTTGCAGGTTTAAGCCCAGAAGACAGAAACAGGCAGTCGGAAATCATCAGAAATAAGGTAAATTTACAAATTATGATATGATATATTCACTGGTATTTTTTTACAATTCAAACTCATGCTTTTTAAATTCATATTTTCCAGTTATTCGCGTTGCCACAATTCCAGAAATCCAAAAATGTATCAATTTTTTTGAGTCTTGACGTGGAAGTCGATACAGAACCAATAGTGAGGAAAATTTTTGAAGATGGAAAAAAATGTTTCGTCCCAAGGTAAGTTTTGATATATTGATAAGATCTAAATTATGAATTTCGAACATCTCTTGTCCAAGTTTCACTACAGACCTGTTTGAATAAAACATCAGCTGTTGAAAACATTTCTCTTGAATTCCTCAGTACTTGTGTCATTTCATCTATTTTGTTTCTTTTGTTTACATTTTGATAATAACGCAAATTTTTGACTTTTGTAATTGACATTGCGAAAACACTCCCAGCGAATTCAACCCACAAAATCATATATTTACCGCTTGAATTGTAAGTCCTGTTTGCGTTTCTCATTTTGTGGTCTAGGTCCTTTTGATGTTTCTTACAATTTTACAAAAACACCATCGACACCTATGAATGCCTTCCACGTCCCTGAAACCGTTCTATTTCACAGATTTAGGTTACAAAATGTCACGTGGGGTTCCTACAACAGAAGCAAACGACCTATTGACTCTAACAATGTATGATCTTTTTCTATCCTCAACATCTCTTTTGTAGATGGGGGCGTAACTGAAAGAGAACAAAGCTTCAATTTTCTATATGAAAAAAAAATGCTTCAAAATTATCTTTGCTTCGCAGCCCTACATTTTCCCCAGTCACTAGTGAGCAGCTACAGATCAACTCGACTTGATTCGATACTTCGTTCTATTTGAATTGAAGGTCACTTTCGTTCCACCCCTTGAACTGAGGGTAGATTTTGCCTATTCCTAAGGAACTGAGAGTAAAACTTGAGGGCTGGAATAACATCAAGTTCTGCAATCCGTGTGCGCGTGATCCCTTGAGAGTCACCTGACCAAATCAAGTAACACCTTATGTTTACAAAGTTTTGTCATACATCGTCGTTTGCTCCCGCAGGGACTCCTCAAAATTTATAAAAATAAGGACTGTTTCAGGGGCGTTTCCAAGAATTGAGATTTACTGAAGGCGTGATTGATGGGGGGTAGGTGCTAAATGTGGAAATTTTTGTGATATCACAATCAGACGAAGAACCTCAACCACAAAAATTTTCCCTCTCACCCGTAAAATTTTAATTACTGGATATGGGGACTTTTCGTGAACTCGTTACCATCGACTACTAAGGCTCAACCGTAGTGCTAATATGACATATGATTGCAGGACCTATAGGGTCAAGTTGAAAAACAGTTTTAGCTAACACTTCGCCCATAAGGTTATCTTGAATTAATGTAATGTAAATACAAATAAGATATCCTTTATCGCTTGTGATGAAGTCGATTATTATTATCATTGGCAGTTAACTTTTAAAAATTTGCCGAGCAAATGCAAATTAAAGCAAATGACTCCCGATATACAGAGCCTTCATTTCAAAACTTCCCACCCCTAGTACTTCGTTTAGCAGGGAGAATTTGCCGTAGGCAAAAAACACGTCAATTTAGATATCGAGGAGGAAGTTTAAACCAGTGCCAGTGCTATTTTAGGTTCAACCCCCTTACCTCTAGCTACCCCCACTTAATAATTTTAAATGGCACCCCCTATCTTGTAACACATCATTTTGAAGGTCTTAAAAATCCTCACTCAACCCCGTTTAGAAAACTGAAATTGGTTGATCCGTTCTCGTAAAATGGGGCAAAAAGAAAATTGATTATAATAAAAAATAAAATAATAGCTATTGCAATTAAATAAATGTACCTTACTTATTATTAGGTGTTCAAAATGTTCACCATTGGTAGCTAAGCAAAAGTACAATCTATTCTCAAATTCCTGTCGGACTTTTGTAAATGTTTCGTTATTAATTTTTCTGCATGTGTCAGTAATCATGTGTCTTAGATCCTAAATGTCCTGCGGGAGAGTTTTGTATATCATTGTCTTCAAATAACCCCAGAGAAAGAAATCCAATGTCGTTAAATCCGGAGATCGCGCCCGGCCATTCCAGAGCGATTCTTCTGCCAATACATTTGTCAGGATACCATTGATCGGGCCCTTGTCGGATATGCAATGTGTAGTGTGGCGGTGCGCCGTCCTGTTGAAAATGTAAATTTTGTTCATCTAAGAGCGGGTTGTCTTCTTCATCAACTTGGCGTTCTAAGGACTGTGTTATGAGTGGATCGATTACATTTTCCAATAAGTTTAAATACAAGTGACCAGTTAAATTTTCTTCAATAAAAATAGGGTCAATTATTTCGTTTCCCAGAACTCCAGCCCATACGTTTATTTTTTGTGGATATCGCGTATGATCCTCTCGAAACAATAAGTGTGGATTTTCATTACCCCGTATCTTCAGTTATGCTTATTCACAAAGTCATTGAGAAATAAAGTTGATTCATCACTGTATCGGGTAATTTTGAATTATCCCAGTCATTATTTCACAAAATTCAATTCTCCTATCATAGTCATCTTCACTGAGTTGCTGAAGAATACTCATTTTGTGAGGAAAGAACTTGTTTTGTTTTAAAACTTTGTGTATAGAACCAACTGAAATATTAACTAAATTGGCGACTTTCGAAGTAGTAGGCTTAACGGCGAATTGGCCTAAAATCACAATCTGTGCGGCTAAAACAAAAACCTCTGTGTGAAAAAGAGACATAAACATACCGTTATTGAGTCAGTGGTAGCGGTTCCATAAATTTTTGCATTTTGGTATAATTCATTTTCTTTTTGCCATATTTTACGAGAACGGATCAACCAATTTCAGTTTTCTAAACGGAGTTGAGTGAGTATTTTTAAGATCTTTAAAATTATGTGTTACAAGATGGGGGGTGGCATTTTAAATTATTAAGTGGGGGTAGCTAGGGGTAAGGGGGTTAAACCTAAAATACCACTGGCACTGGTTTTAAACTTCTCCCTCGATATCTAAATTGCCTACTGAAAATTCTGCCTGCTAAACGAAGTACTAGGGGTGGGAAGTTTTGAAATGAAGGCACTGTATACTACTTGGTACAAGAGTTGCTCTAATTTTGCTCACGAGTTTGAAATCAAAATCGATGTCACAATCAGTTATAGATCAGTCTGAATTGAATATTAACAAAATTTTTTGAAAAAGGTGGGTAAAACATATCCGTAGTAACTGCTCTATGCTAAGCTTAAAAATAGTCATTTGAAAATCAGCAAATTTTGCAAATTTTCATGACCTTTCCCTTGAATAATGCTCCAATAAAAAGGTTAGAATATTATGGAGTGCCAAAAAATAAATTGAAAATTGTCAAATAGTATCTTATGAATAAATATATTCGATTTAAGTGAAAAATATGCTTATTTATGGTGCACCTATACATTCAATTTTTTCAAATTTTCCTCTTCAGGTACAATAAAAAAGGGATGGAAATGGTTGAATTATATTCAATGGAAGATTGGGAGAAGCTACCTGTGACAAAATGGAATATAAAACAACCATCTTTCAAAGATGAGAGAAGAAACGCCCTTGAAGCAGGTATTTCCATTCATTAAAGTTCACAATTCTAGGTTAGTCTACAGAGTGTTTCAAATTCGATCCTCACCATTGGGATCTCGGACTCTATGAGAGATACGAAGATGGTTAAATTGTGGCAAAGTTGTGCATTTATCTGACTAACAATATGCCTTTGAGAAAGTTCTGAAATTCCGAGTATATCCGAAGATATCCGGAAAAAAACAGAAATTTCGAAAAATGGTTTTTATTTGGAAGAATTCGAAAATAAATTCCACTTCCACATTGCCACTTTTTTCCTGCTATATAATGGTGTTTTCAGATTTACTATCTGACGTTTCGTGTTCCGGCCACCATCATCAACTTTATTTTTTCTTATGGTCGCTACATTGAATTCTTTCTGTTTTGAATATATCACTTATGATACATCACTTTTCAGTGATGTATCATAAGTTATCATTCTTTTTGGAAAAATTGGAGGTATTGAAAGAAATTGATTCTTATCATAATAGGCTTTGACTTTGATGTATCTTAATTTGACTTTCAATTTGTTACACTTAATGACATTTTGTTATTGTACAAGTCATTAAATTTTTGGCGAGAAATGGCTTTCACGAATGAAGAAAAAAGAGATATGATACAAATTCATTACAAATAAGATAGAAACAGAGTTGGGACAACGGAAATATATTTAAACTTGTATCATCGAGTTTGGTTGGTTTGAAAAGCTAATGAAAAAATACTGAGATAGAAACAACGATCAAAATTTGATAAATGGGGAATGTATGAGGTAAATTAGACATTGTGTCGTTTTCAATGAAAATATAACTTTGAACAAATAACAATAATTAACTAAAATGTAAAGACAAAAGTAAAGCACAGCAAATGCTGAAAATGGTGGCCTTGTTCATGATAACACAACTGTGCCCTTCTTCGAATAATATTCACTGCATGATTAATTCCCCTCCTCCTCAATCTTCCGAACTCTAACAATGCTGTGTTGGAGGTCCTCAATATTTGGATATTCCCTCAGACCATTAACTCTATTTTTCAATGTACCCCATTAGAATGTATCTATAACAGTTAAGTCTAGAGACCTTGCTGGCCACCTCACCGGCCTATCCATTTATCACCAAACCTTTCAGTTAGGTAATTGGATACTCGTCAGGCACTGTGCGGTGGAGCACCATCATATTGAAACCAGATGTTGTTATAGTTAGCCAAAGGTAGGTCATCCAAATAGTCTTCGAAAATGGACATTAAAAAATGATAGGACCCAAAATTGTATCTTTGTTAATTCCTGCCCACACGTTAAGACTAAATCGCACTTGAGGTCGAATTTCTCGAAACTACCTGGGGTTGTTTATGCTTCAAATGTGTTCGTTGTTTCCGTTGATTATCCCACAATTCGTAAAAGTGTTTTCATCTGCCCAAATTACATTTTCCAGGAAAACAGGAAATTCAAGTCTTCTTATCAGCCAATTACAAAATTCTAATCGCCTTTCGGGATCACCTGGGATGCAATTTTTGAGATATTTGTATTTTGTAACATTTCAAAACGCTTTTTTTGAGATGTCTTCGAGGACCTTTTTTTTTGGTACCTTGGGAGCTGTCTGACTTGTCCATTTACTTAGTCCAAGTCTTCAGAAAACACTGCAGCCTCTTGAGCTTATTGCGTTTATTCTCTCATGACACCCATTCCATCAGTCTCGTTCCCTGTACTAATTTGTACAGGTTCTGTGTTGGATGTTCGTCATATTCTTCTGGACGTAATTTCGTACTTCCATATATTGCCTGCCTTCTGTGATTCAGTGCCTCACATTCGCATAAGACGTGTAGAGCTGTTTCTGTCCCTTCGTTGCATAATATGCAGCTGAGGCCTCCGTTGTACAGCCCCATTTTATTCAGGTGTTAGTAACCCTGTAATTATTCTGAGCAGATCCCTACTATATTGAAGTAGTTCTTCGGTTCTTTTCTCGGATGGTTCTTCAATGAAGGTTCTACTGTGTTTGTTGCCAGGTGTACAGCCCCATTTCATTCAGGTGTCCTCTAAGCGAACAATGACCGGTTAGTAACCCTGTAATTATTTCGAGCCAATCCCTACTATATTGAAGTAGTTCTTCGGTTCTTTTCTCGGACGGTTCCCTAATGAAGGTTCACCTGTGTTTGTTGCCAGGTACTTTTGTCCAGTACTCTGTGTGCTTTTTATTGGTCCATATCCTAATCTGGTTTCTTACCAATGATTTTGGTACCCCCAAAGCTGGTTCAGGACTTATATATGAAGTTGATGATCCGCGTCTAGCGCATTCATCAGCTTTATCATTACCTGTGATTCCTGAATGCCCTGGCACCCAGTACAAAGTTAATTTGTTCCTGTTTGTAAGTTCATTCAGTTCTTCATGTCATTTCCAGAGCAGTTTTGATGTCACCTTCGGGTTTGTCAGAGCCCCTAGTGCGCTCTTGCTGTCGGTAAAAATATTGATCCGCTCATTTCTTTGAGGTCTCAATTCAATAAACCTTGCACACTGCAAGACAGCATACACTTCCGCCTGAAAGACAGATGTGTATAGTCCTAGCGGATAGCTGTAGTTTAAACTTCTATCCGCTCGGTATATTCCAGCTCCTGTTCCATGTTTGGCCTTCGATCCATCTGTGTACCAGGTGTTTTTTCCAAACATGTTTTCGGGATGTCTTCCACTCTTCACGGCTTATGATTTTGGCCGTGAAGTTTGTGTTAAAGTTGTACTTCGGTGTCATGTGGTCCGTGCACATATTCAATATGTGCTCCTCCACTTGTTCCGAAATTTCTGTTCGGTCCGATCTTCTATTTTCCGAAACTTCTGTTTTTTCCGTATATCTCCGGATATACTCGGAATTTCAGAATTTTCTCAACGGCATATTGTTAGTCAGGTAATTGCGCAACTTTGCCCCAATTTAACCATCTTCGTATCTCTCATAGTTTCCGAGATCCCAATGGTGAGGATCGAATTTAAAACACCCTGTATAATAGTTTCATCAAATACGAAGATACAAGTACCCGTTTTACCAGACTCGTTGAGAGTGGCAGATGAAATAGATCGCGATAACTGGATTTCTTGTGAGTTTTTGCTTATCGTATTTCGTTGAGGTTTTGAGGAATGACAGAAATGTTTGGTTCACATGTAGGAATTCTGTGAGCAAAAATAAACAATCGGATATTTTTATACCACGCACCACACTTCATAATCAGATATTCATTTTTCCTCACCAATTTTTGAGATTAGTAAAACTCATCCAAACATGAGCATAGCCGACTTCTTCCGGATGGTAATTTCATGACTCTTGAGATTTTTGTAAACAGCTGAATTCTTCCGTTTTCAATGAAGGGCTTGAGTAATGATTTTAGATAGGTAATAATACTAACCAAACGATCGTTTTCATTTCTAAACTGTCAATTTTTGAACATTTCAATATTGAAAACTACCCTAACCTAGTCTATCTTTTGATAACTTTTCTGCATATACCTGAATACTTTCTAATTTTGGAAAGAACTTCGTCGACTTCGACCAAATATTTAGGTCTCCACGTACTACCAAACTATAATAACATACAAAATCGATTAATAAACTCCAGGAATCTATTTTGTATTTAAATGCTGAAGAACTAAAACGACACAACATAAAAACAACATATAAACTAACAAAAACCATCAGAAATTCTTTGAACATTCCAAAAGAAAAGTGAACCTAGAAAATCAAGGCATATAGAAAAACACAGTGGGAAGTACGTCGGCCAAACAAATAGGTTAATGTCAGTCAGATTAAAGGAATACTAACTCGCACTCCGCAACAAACAAACATCCACTGCTCTATACAAACACCAACTTGATAGAGGTCATTACATCGACTTCAAAAGCTATAAACAAATCGCCAGTATACAGCACTAGAAAACCTGAATGATGAAGAAAGGAAGTCCAGCTGCATGGAGAATTATCATATCCAAAACCAACGCCAATGTACCACCAGTGTACCAGAAATATAGGCCCAGATGAAATAAAAATATTTACTTTCAGTTTAGCTAAGTGGCATAATGAACGTAATTTAGAGTTTTAATTTACTAGAGTTGGTTGAAGAGTAGTTGAGTATATGTATAGCCGTAGATGCTTTTTCCTGATAAATATTAGAAAGAGGGCGCACAGTACGTATTTTTGTAGTTGAAAATAATTTTGAAGTATGCCAGTTACTATGAAAATTTTTTGCCAAAAAAATTATCCTATCAAATTTGTCTATTTCTAGTCATGTGTGTCGAAATAACCAATGAAACCATCATTACACTGANTATGCCCTGGAGTGGCTTTCACCGTAGATGGAAAGCGGTTGGGTCATGGAGGAGGCTATTATGACAGATTCCTGAGACACGTTTCGGAAACCCAAGCTGTACCCCCATCAGTAGTCGCAGTGGCGTTGAAAGAACAAATCGTTGACGACGTTCCGACTGAAGAGACAGATTTCAAGATTGAGCAGGTGTTACATGCTTGAAATGATGTCATGTGAATAATGTTACAGGGTACGGTTGATTGTAAATAGGTGGTCAACTATTGTTATATTACTAATAAAACATTAAACATTGTTGATTGTTTTAATATATTTTATGAATCTTTATCAAATGATGAAAAAATAACTAAATTTATTTTGGATAGGAAAACATGTTGGGTGTGTATATTGAAGTATATATTGCGATACCGAAAAAAATCAGTGCTCTTCTTCATTCCCAGACTAACATTCCTTCAAATTTCAGAAAAATGTGACTTTTCAACATTCTTTCTGCACGATACCAACTCTAGAAAAATGCAAGTAATTATTTCCAACACATAACATAACTATATAACCTCAAAATGGAGAAAGTCACCAGAAAACGAATACATTGAGGAATCAAGTGTTTTATATAGTAAAAATGTTATAAATTCAACTAAGTGTCAAAGAAAGTGACATGAGATGTGACTCTGGAAATGAGAAAGAGCACAAATTTTTTTTTCGGATTCGTAATCTAGACGTCAAAATACGTGAATACACTCGAGGGTTCATAATTCGGAGGGTATAATATTTTTATTTCAAACTACGAGCTTCTCTATGGTATTTTTACTAAACTTCTATAGAAACTGCACAACTGATTCAATGAATTTTGAAAATGAATGAATGAATACTAATTAGTCTAGCCGGAGAACATTTATTGAGGGTTTTATATGAAAACAATATACAGGGTGTAACATAAGTACGTTAAAATATTCAAGTGACGTATTCCTGAGACAATTTTAAGAAAAAAAGTCTATATGAACTTGTGTCCGAATTTTTGTTCGCTTTTTGAAAATAACTCTTGCAAAAAATAAATTATTTTCACGAAATTTGGTACCCGGGGTTTTTTCTGACGTGGGAAATCATAATTTCGTATTAATTTTCATGTAACATCTAGAGGGTGCTGCTTACTCTGTCATTATTCATTTCAAATTGCCCTAACTTTTTTGACAGTAAACTTTTGGTACTTTACATGAAAAAACCTAATTTCCACAGCTCTTCCAAGTAAACAAGGTACACCTCCTCAACAACGCTGGAGGTGATCGTTTTCGAGATATTTACAATTTTCTATATTGATGCATATTACTTTATAGCCAAATTTTATTTCAATAATTTTTGTCACTCTCCGCTTGCAAATTAAGTTAATTAAATAGTATAACATCAGCAAATTTTATCGAAAATCCTCTTCACAGATGAGGCTAATTTTTCAAGAAATGGTATCATGAACTTCATGGGCGGAAGATAACCCACATGCGATCACGCAAACTCATTTCCAAGACAGATTTTTTTTTATTGTATGGGTAGGCATAATTGGGGATTATTTAATTGGGCCCTATTTTCTCCCCTTACGTTTGAATGGAGATGCTTAACTATATTTTTTGGAACACGAGCTTCCCCAACTTATGGTAGATGTTCCCATTGGTCTCCGAAATCACTTTTGATTTATGCACGATGGAGCTCCTGGTCATTTTAGTGTGATATCAGAAAATTTTTTAGACGTAGCATATCCCCAACGATGAATAGGAAGAGGAGGCACTGAGCATTGGCACCCGAGGTCACCGGACCTCAATCCCGTCGATTTTTCTTTTGGTGACACCTAAAATCACTAGTTTATGCTAGCCCCATTGAAAACAAGGAAATGTTGAGGGATCGCATCATAGCTTGCTGCGAAACGATAAGAAACACTCCGGGCATTTTTCAATGGGTGCGGAATTCTTTGATGAGGAGAGCAGGAGCTTGTATTACTGTTGGGTGTCGTCACTTTGAAAAGTATGTTTATTTTCCTAATAAATAACATAGTACTTCTCCGAATTGTTTTTTTTTACAAACTCCGAAATGTAGAACTTTCCAATCGAATAACTAAACCTGACAATTTTTTAAAATTTGGATTGGATAAGCAGTTCGATAATGCTCGGTTTAGAAGAAGTCTGTACGGGTATACTGCGTATAAAGTTTGATGAAAATAACTAAAATTGCAAAAAACTTATGACAAAAACCTACAATGTTTTGAAAAATTTCAACAATCTGTATTTCGAAAACGAATCATTTTTCGTTAAACATTTTATAGGAAAAAGTTGTTCATTTTGACGAGATCCACCACATACTTAGTTCTTGTAATGTTCTCAGCAACTTCACTTATCGCCCTAGGAGCTAAGTAATATGCATCGATATAAAAAATTGTAAATATCTCGAAAACGATCACCTCCAGCGTTGTTGAGGAAGTGTACCGATTTCTACTTGGAAGAGGTGTGGGAATTAGGTTTTTTCATGAAAAGTACCAAAAGTTTACTGTCAAAAAAGTTAGGGCAATTTGAAATAAATAATAACAGCGTACGCAGCGACCTCTAGATGTTACATGAAAATTAATTCGAAATTATAATTTCCCACGTCAAATAACCCCGGGTACCGAATTTCGTACGAATAACTTATTTTTTGCAAGAGTTATTTTCAAAAAGCGAACAAAAAAATTAAATTTCCACACCCCGTATCTCCGAAACGAAGAATTTTCGGATACAAGTTCATATAGACTTTTGTTCTTGAAATTGTCTCAGGAATACGTCACTTGAATATTTTAACGTACTTATGTTACACCCTGTATAAGCGGCCACAAAATGAATGAATTCAAAGGGTATCGAATTTTTATAGATGTAGGGTCTTCCAACAGGGACTTTAGAACTTTCATAATTGATAACAATCTTGTTGAAGCTACATCTGTCCAATTAGTTGTCATTTATTCAGTCTGTTTTGCCAATTCATCATGGACGGATATACTATTCACCAACACGCGCCCATTTTACGGTCGTCATAATCGTCTACCCAGAAGACTATTCGCAATGTGGTAGATAAATTTGAGTACAGCCGTTCAGTAAACGATCAACTAATACCCGCCCGTCGACGAAACGCAAGTCTATCGAAAGCATCGCAGCTGTCTGTGAGAGTGTGCAGGAGAATCTGAAGCAGTCGATTTCGTGTCATTCACAAGAGTTCGGCCTTTCACATACCACAACTTGGGGAATTTTGCGTCGTAACTTAGGTCTGCACCCGTACAAAATTCAATCCAGAAACTGAAGGTAAGCGACCATAGACATCAACGTGTGTTTGCCGAATCAACTCTGGATCAGTTGACAAATAATAATAGCTTTATTGTGCATAAATTACACACGAAAGGTAGGGGTTAGCCCATGGCTATCTTCAACCCCTCCTGATAAGTAATACAAATAACATTTATGAGCAATAAGGTAATTACCTAATATAATTCAATTTTCTTCAGCGGCAAAATTAAAGGAAGAATATGATAAATCTCAATTTGCAGAAAAGTAAAGGAAAACACTACAATACATTACTCCATGCTGGTCAACAAAGTTGATTTCAAATGATGTTTCACTTCATATAAAGATGAATTCAGGAGAGGAATTATCCTGTTCAAAAATAACGGTGCCAGATAGGAAATGCATCCTTCGTATTTAGATGTGACATGGTTTGGAATGTTAAAATTATTGAACCTGGTATTGATGCTACGGATATTAGAACGACGTACTATAAGCTCTAATAAATACAGGGGTATTTTGTTTTTGATGAGTTTGAAAAGAAATATTGTGATCAGATATTCCATTCTACACTTCATGTTTAATTCTCTCAATCCTATCAGAAAAGGAGTAATGTGCTCTCTATAAGGTACACAGCAAACAAAACGCATACAAGAATTTTGAATGCGTTGCAACTTTTGTCGATTATATTCCGGTAGAAAATTATAATACACTGGAGCGTAGTATTCTATATGTGGATAGATGAGGGAGTTGACTAGTTTAAGTTTCATTTCGGTTGATAGTTGATATTTAAATTTTTGAAGTGATTTCAGTTTGAAGAACGCTATTTTAAATATATTTTGGACATGGTCATTGAAGTTCAAGTTTTGATCGACAATCAATCCGAGATTTTTCGTTGAGTCAACCCATTCAATGTCCGTTTGATTCATTCTGAGAATATGTTGTTTGATCTGATAAGTCTGTCTCTGAGGGCCTAAGCAGATTGCAACTGTTTTGTTTGGGTTGATACGCAAGCCATGTTTTTCAGAATAAACTTGAGTGTTTTGGAGATCTTCGTTAATAATGCTCACATGGTTTTCTATATCAGTCAAATCGCAAGATGAATATAATTGAAAATCGTCGGCATATAGGTGGACTTGACAAAAGTTTAAACATGATGGAAAATCAAAAATGAAAATAACAAATAATAAGGGCCCAAGAATACTACCTTGGGGTACTCCAGAAATAGTTTCTTTAAGGGTTGACACTAATTTTCATCGAAAAATCATCTTTGGCGATTAAACTCATTTCTGGATGAATGGTTCGAACTCGGGAAGAAATCAATCCACATGAGATCCAAGAGCGTCCAATGCATCTTGAAAATATGGCTGTATGGCATGGATTTCGGGCCAGCGGCGTCATCGGTCCATATACATTTAAGAACAACATTAGCCAGGCCATCACTGACAACGGCGAGCACTATAGGTCGATGATTACCAATTTCTGTTGGCCCGAATTGGATGGTCTAGACACCAACGACATGTGGTTTCAACCGGACGACGCTACGTGTCACACAGTTCATGCCACATTGGATATTCTGCATGAGCGTTTTGAGGGCATCCCACGTTGTGGCTATGTGAACTGGCCACCGAGATCGTGCGAATGACCCCGTTCGACTTTTCCTTGTGGGGTTTTTTAAAATCGCAGGTGTATGCGAATAAGCCACAAACGAGAGCGGTGCTCAAAGCCAACATAACCCATGCCATCGGTCAAATTCAACCTCATTTATGCGAGGCTGAATTTGAGTCATGAAAAATTGGACGTTTCGGATGTGCTCCACTCAGAGGAGTCGTGGCCGATAATTGAACGTTATTATATTCCACACATGAAGGCATCAATAAGTCTTTCAAACGAACCAAAATTTTGATTATATCTCACACACACTTTGATTAATTTAAATTTAAAGGAAGCGCCTAATAAAAGACCATATACTTTCTATTGAAATAATTCATACTCCTCTCAGGATAACTAATTTACATGAATGATCTTTCTGGTATCATTATTATTTGCGCTGTTGCTCTAGGGCTTGTTACTGAATTTGCCGGTTCAACTGCAAGAATCTTCAATATGAGTTGTTGGTACAAGTACTTGTGATGCACTAGAACCTTGTTCCAGTGCATTACAAGTACTTGTCGAGGTGTGTCGAGTTGTTAAAAATAACGGTTTGGTGTTGGGAAAAAACTCCAGTAATATTCATGAGTTGTTGTATTGGTTTTCCAAGTCATAGAATGAGAATATTCAGTCGATATTACCATCAAAAGGCATCGTCTATGGATCTGCACAGGAGTCGATCCACAAATATTGAAAATCAACAAAGCTCCCCAAGACGGTCATTTGCAAGCCATTTTTTGACATCGACCGCCGAATGGGATTTCTCTATCATTCACTGCAGCTTTCACTTCAAAGCAACTAGATGAACTTGTGACCAAACAGCAGACAGTGGTGTCAGGACCCCCAGAGTCTAATCTCGTTAATATTCAAGGATTGAGTCTTCTGTTGATCCCATAGATGGCGTCTTCGTAGGGGGTAGCGTCATCACCTTTGCTTTCAGGATTATCCTTTCAAGGACGGTTGGGTGGTTCAGTTTGGCACCTTGGCGGGTGGTCTGGTGTTTTTTCACAATTTCATCCAGTGCATTGCAGTGAAAGCTACAGTAAAAGATAAAGAGACGAATCTTGTTCGGCGATCGATGTCGAAGCTTGGTTTTGCAACTGACTGCCTTAGGGAGGAGTCGGTTTTCTGTCGATTTCAAAGATGACTATTCTAATGAAAAAATGTCGTCACCTTTATTTTCAGTCTTGATTTTAGTGGAGAGTTGAGTGGCTTAGCCTGGCACTACTGATGAAACCTTGGTGCATCAAAACAGTGCAGTCTGGTGTTCAATTTTATCAAGCATCACGAAGCACATGAATTCATTATGCAATACATATTAGATGCCCCAAATCGTTAGAAAGCTTTGGGAACATCGTGACATCAAATACGTGTATTATTCCTGAGAAACACTTGTAAAAGTATAGTTTCCACTTTTCGAATGGTATAGCAGAATCGAAATTCCCTTCGATTATGTTTGAAAAGAGTTGATCAACAGTCAATAAAGATAATAAAGATGGACTTTCCGGATATAGTGTATTCGAAAACCTTTCAACTTATAACCTTTGAATAAGCTCATTGCTTTAGATAGCTCCATCAAAACAGAAACACGCTTCAATAACATAAATTGGAGAAACTTGCAATAAGTCAATAATAACTGACCACAGGTAGAAACTACTTGATTATCTGCCAAACTGCAGATATACAATCAATACACCCTCTGATAACGCGTTCAGCTGTGTTTATTTTGAGTTTGCACTGGAAACGTATATAATAAATTGCAGCAATTAATCAAATCCTAGTCAATACTCACAATTCATCGAGAGAAGATGAATCCAGTTCTTATCATGGTCCTCGGGTTATCGAGCTTTTCCAGTAGTGCTCGTATACTGGGTGTTTTCCAAGTTCCGGCAGTGAGTCACCAAAGTGTGTTTCGTTCAATATGGAGGGAGTTATCTTTGAGAGGACACAACGTAACCGTTGTGACACCTTTTCCACTGAATGACGATTCTTTGGTGAACCTTACTGAGATTGACGTTAGCGATCCCAACAAGGAAATCTTCGAGAGGCATGGATTCCAGTTTTTCATGAACAAGGAGAACTATGTCCAGAGCAAGATAACGAAGCTATTTGCCATGAATTATGAATTATCTGAGGCCGTTCTCAGCAATAAGGAGTTTATTGAAGTTTACAATAATAGTGAGCAACAGTTCGATGTCGTGATAGCACAGACTTATATTTCTCCAGTATTGTACAGCCTATCAGCAAAGTTTGGGGTTCCGCTCATTGGGGTATCTTCGATGGGAGGCTACATCGGCAGTCATTTTGCAATGGGAAATCCGCAACCTCCATCTTTATACTCAGAAATGTTCCTTCCTTACCACGGCCAAATGACGCTTTTGGAACGAGTTAAAAGTACTCTGTACTATCTTTGGGTCAGGTTTTATCGCACGTTTGTAGCATTACCGAAATGCGACGCTATTGCTAGAAAGTATTTGGGAAATGACTTGCCGTATATAGAGGATATTGAGAAGAATATGAGTTTGCTACTTTTGTCCACCAATCCGTTTCTTTATGCACCAAGACCAACAGTACCCACTGTTATCAGTTTGGAGCAGATGCACATTGGTCCAGTTAAGCCGCTTCCACAGGTAGATTTTCAAGTTTTTTTGTACTTTCCTTTTGTTCATTTCGTATCATTTTTTCTGAAAACTGAAATATTCGAAAAAAATTTGCAGAGATATAGATACTGTAAAAAATTCCAAACCGATAGGAAAATGTGTTACTATGATCTGCAGAAAAGTATTAGAAACAGTAATTCTCCCACCCTTACATTTTAAAAAACACCAACACTCTTTGAAACACTAGAAAATGGCATTTTATTCTGATGTTGATACAACATTGTTCATTAGCAACACGAACTCCTGCATCTAAGTTAACACACTTGTATGAATGAAGAATCCAGCAAGTCATTCGATGACATCAATCACTATTTTTTACTTGAATGCTAATTTTATCTCCAGTATTTATACGAATATGAGTTCTCCAATGACAGGGACACTCAACAAAAATTTTACTAAAAACTACAGTCTGAAATAGTGTACAAGTATTCCACTTGTTTGACATATTCACTTCATTTCCTACCACTGTCGTAATTTGAACTGATTAGCTTGAAATTCATCCTGAAGACTATTCGATCGCTAATAGTCTGAGGTATTCCTTGTCGTAATGATTCATCGTCACCTTCATCACACTCCGTATCTTCAGATTATTTTAGAAATGCTCTTTCTCAACGTGTAGGGCTCTATACAGCGTGATTCACGGTCGATGGTAGGTTAGACGTTTCTGGAAAACGCAAAGCATGATTTTTCTGAAATTTTCACCTCTTACATTCTATCGTTCTATCGATCTAAAATATTTTCAGCATTGCGGCGTTGCCACTTCTATTAAAAAGCCCTAGCATTTATATTTTTTTAAATATTTCACCTCTCACATTTCCTTACCTGTTCTATCGATATAAAATATTTTCAGCATTGCGGCGTTGCCACTTCTATCAAAAAGTCCTAGCAATTATATTTTTTTAAAT